TCAGCAATTGGTATAACATTCGATCAAGCCTTCTGCAAACGTGGCAAATATACACCGTGGCAAATCTATTCACAATGTCCGTGCAACTCGCTACTGAAACCTTGTTCAGCATTTCCTACACTGTTTAGGACTCCTTTTTACGTATGGTCTTAAACATTTGACTAGCTACTATTTCTCAGTATTCAAATTTTCATTGTTAAATACTAAAAAAGCTTTTAATTTTAATCTTTCTTTTTCTTATTCATATTTTTAAAACTCTATTCAAATACGTGATTGAGGCTAATTACGCAAAAGTTAAATTTATTCTTTATTTTTATTGGCCTTAAGATTTTGTTTAGCAAGGATACATGGCACAGTGGATAAAGGCGTTGGTTAGATCCAGTGACAGGCCTCAGAGAGTGTGAGTTCAATACCCGGTTATTTGTTTTTTACTTTGAGGAAAGTCCACATTGAACGAAACGCGTCAACAATGACAATAGTTTTCCTATTGTCATTTATATTTATAAATATTGTCTTTTCTACAGGTTAACTCTGAGAAATTTTCACATCATATATATATATATATATATATATATATATATATATATATATATATAATGAATAATTTTAATCCGATATTATTTCTATTAATGTTATTTGTAGCGAGCGCACGTATTTGAGTTGACAATACTGTTTTCTTTTTTATTTTCTTAACCATTCAAATTACTATCAACTGAAATATTCTAGTAAATGTCACTGTACCACCACGCCTATAGCCGTATCTTCGCCTTTCCTCGTCTGGTGGATAAACTAAAACACGTAATACCCAAACACGTATAACCATTAAATGTGGTTTATCGTAATAAGAAATAATATCGAATTAACAAATCCATTTAAAAATTATTTAGTTTCATTTCCATCTACGAAAATAAAACGACCAGATATAGATTCTAAAATGTACGGACGAGATGTCTACGTTCCTTTTGTAGGTAATGGCTATTTACCGTATCATGATGGTCACCCGTATAGTAATTAGACAAAGAAAGTATGCTTTGACGATAGGAATGGTGCTATTTAAAGTGAAATGAAAGGAATACAGGATCGATTCTTGTCGGGAAAATGGACATTTCTTTAGTGCGACATCTTGATCTAGGCCAGTTGACATTAATTTCACTCTTTAACAAAATAAACAGAGATGTCAACACAAACACATTTGTATCCACTAAAAAAATGCAATAAATATATATATATATATATATATATATATATAGAGAGAGAGAGAGAGAGAGATAGATAGATAGATAGATAGATAGATAGTAATTATTAGGAGGATTTGATTATATTTAATTAATTCATCAAGTCTGATAGAAACCCCATTAGAATGCAGCATTCTGTTGAGGTTTCTATCAGACTCGATGAATTAATTAAATATAATTATCAAATCCTCCTAATAATTACTATCTGTGTATATCATCGCTTGAACCGGCTTCTAATGCTCTAAAGTGAGCGGCTTGGTGAGAGTAGTCGTGGCTCCAGGGGGCACATTCCTATGTTTACAGAAAACGTAGTATGGTTCCACCACGGAATATCTAAGCGAGCGGCGCTATATTGAGTCTGATTTGCAATCACTTCGAGGCCCGGTGGAACCGTTGGTATGATGTTTGCTTGACAACCTAACTGTGAGGGTGTGACGTCCTTGTCGCAGCGCCAGCTGTGACGTCCTTGGACGCGGCGTCAGCTGCGACGTCCCTAAACACAGCCTTCGCTCGCTCCTCGCTGCTCCGTTCGGATGTCGCCGCTCCAAACGTGAAGTCCGCCTGTCGCGTCAGTCGTGTTGTCTCGTCCTGTGACGACCAACTGGCTTGGTATCGGTCGCGGCACCCAAATGTGACGTTCTAACCTTTTGGTGATTCGGATGGGAATCTGGTTAGATTCGATATCAGCCTCGTCGTTCCCAACTCGCTTCCAACGCCTGGTTACCAAAGTAACTGCATTGATCTCCAGTCTGCCTACCCACGTTGTGAATTGATCTTAGGCAGACGAGATCAATCAGTAGTTGGGGCCGTAATGCAAATCGGGTTCAACGGGGGTGACACCACACAAATATGCATAAAAGAAAATAAAATGATAACTCAAAAATTCAAGGTATCAAAAAAAAAAGGATAACAAACTTTATGTCTAGTTGTTGGATATATAGGACTGCGTCTATTTCCCGACCCGTTCTATGGATTGTGACACGTTGTTTTCCGTTAGGCGAGTTTTAACGCTTCAAGTTGTTTGCTCTTTAAGAAATTGGTTTTTCGGTGTGTCTTCGGCGAAAGTCGAAAAAAACTTATTTTGGTGGTCTGGGTCTAAGTCGCTCTTCAAATTAATTGTTCTTGAATTGAAGAGGAGTCCGGAATTTGCGTGAATCTTGGTCAGCTATCTGCGAGGCGGGAATTCTCTCGAACCGAACTGGAACTCAACTCGAACTTAACTCAACTGCAACTCAACTGATTTCTGCTCGCTGCGACTTCGCTTATATGGACGCCGACCAAAACCGGGGTGGGTTTGTCGGCGCCGGGGGTTCCTCGATAATTCTAAATACATATCCACCTCTTTTATTTCTGGTTAGGAATTTTCCACTTTTTTCCATTTTTGGGAGCCTTCTCTTACTCCCACCTTCTCACCATACTTCAGAGGGGCGTGAACTGCCCTCCCCACTTCCTCGTAGCAACTTCTCACACCCATCCTCCAGATGAGCGGCGACAGCCTCCTTCGTGCGTCACGTGATCACCACTCGACCAATGATGTCTTAGTCGGGCGTGTACGATTCCGCGGCTTTTTTTCAGGAAAAAAAATATCTTGCTTAACCTAAAAAAATTATCTTTTTCTTTTCCTTTTCTTCCTTTTAATCGCAGTTATCATTTTCTCTAGCCGCAAACAGAACAATACGAACGACGGTGGTCATAACTCTTGTTCTTCACCTGGGCTTCGTCAGTCATCTTATCGCTAATTATCAGAATGGGTGATCTTTTTAACACGGCCAGACGTCGCCTCGAAAAGAAACATTTCTAAGTTCCCATTTATTTTTTTCGGTACACATTTCTGATAACATTTATTTTATTATCGCAGGCTAAAGATGTTCCGTCGAAAGAAATCGGTCAGTGGACACATCGTGTGCGGCTTTTGACACAATTAATTTTTCATATCTATCCAAAGCCCTGTAGTTTCACCTGTGTTTTGTCAATTATCAAAATTAACGTTTTCAATTGGACTTTTCTTTGGCTAGTCGTCTGGGGTTTGCTTAATCAGATGCTTTCCCGCACCAGCGGTTTGTTTATGTATCCCAGATAACACAGCCCGACGCCAGAACACACCCGATTCCTTTATCCACTCAGAATTTCCCTGCCATTGTAATGACACTCTTTCGCCATTTGTTACTTATCAAAATATCCCTTATCCATTGTCTCTTAGCCGTGGTGTTCTGCTTATCATCCACGCTTTGGGTCATCGCCTCTCCTTTCCTTTCTTTTCTTTCTTTTCTTTTTCTGCCTTGGTAAATGGTGCCACAAGGGTTTCATTTCTCCGTAGTGGATGCGCACTGCTGATGAGTCCAAACGGCCGTCCAGTGTTTTCTGCATTCTGTTGAGGTTTCTATCAGACTCGATGAATTAATTAAATATATATATATATTCTGTTTATACTTTATTTTTACAAATAGAAATATTTAAGTAAATGCGCTGTTTATAATAAAAAGTATTAACTATATTTACCAGCTTGAATGTAAGAGAAATTACTGTTTTTAAAAAGTCAAATTTGTTGTTTAAAAACATATATAAAAATGTTTAAAAAATGTATAAATGTAACGCATACATAGAAAATATTGTCAAAATAATTGTCAAACTTAGTACACTTCATAATATATTTATTTACGTTAAGATACGCTTCGAGTAGATAGGAGCGTTCGATAGAAATCATGGGAAGTTTGTAGTTCAAAAACAGTAATTAAACATTGCTAACCAGACGCTTTCTCTGTAGCTAAACAGTATATTACGTCAGGCTAGATGACGCTTCCGTGTAGGGTACAGATTCGATTTCTGTCGTCGGATGCATATTTTCTATGAAATTTCTCGTACATTTTGGTTGGTAAATGTAGTTAATAGTTTATTGTGAACAGAGCTTTTACTTAAATATTTGTTTCTATAAAAATGACGTACAAACAGAAAATATATTAAAATAATTGTCCGACTTAGTTGTGCGTAGTTTAATTTGTAACATATATAAACGTAGGCAGTAAAAAAAAAAAATGTTGATAAGATAGCGATGACCATAAAGCAGTGCCCTGCGTCCCCAATCAGGCTTTTCCTCCCGGTCGGGGATTTCGGGGATAGTATGCCTCAGCCCTGATGGTGACGGTTAGTTTCATGCCTTAACCGATGTTCAGAATAAGAATATCTGAATACATTGGCATTACACAATTTCTATTTCAGTATGTACCGGAAGTGGATTCGTTACATTTACTTATGTGCAACTACCCTTGGGAAAGGTATGAATCCATCTCTCCTCCTCCCCACCCGTCTATAGGTTAAATACCAGGGTAGACTGGGTTCTACAGTCTTGGATGACAACCAGTCTAAGAGAAGGACAAATCTGAATTCAAAAAGATTCACCAACTTGCAGTTGGCCAAGCGTAGTGACTACGGTTACACCCCTGAAGACATGGTCAATCAAGGAAGGCTTCCTCCAAGAAGCGAGAAAACCCTGGATCTGGATTAGGATCAGGATCTGTTCTAGTGAGCTTTCATCGTTGGTTCCATTGTAGAACCGGAATCCAGAAAATGTCCCGAATTATAGAAAAAAATCTAACAAAAAAAAATTCGCTGGACTTTAACCAAATTTGTAATATCCTTCCCAATTATTAAAATTTACAATTAACAAAAATCTTTTATATATGAATAAAGGAATAGAAAAAAGGAAGTATAGAGACTAAGACATTTTAGATGCTACCTGGACTTCTCACGAAAGTTTGAAGAAAAAAATTAGGCGAGAGAGAGAGAGAGAGAGAAAGAGAGAGAGAGTGGGTAAAAAGACAAACATGGTTTCCTAAGAAAGAAGAAAAGCGAAAAAAATCTTATAAATACATCATGAAACGCCGTCTCCCCAAAGTAAAATAAAAAATAAATTATTACAAGAAAAGAAAACAAAATGGCAGAAAAAAAATAAGGGGATAAAAAAAAGAGCAAAGGATTCCAACAAACACGTACTGAAAATAAAGCGATGTAAAAATATGTAAATAAGCCAAGATATAAATTTGGAATCAACGAAAAGCCAAATAGCTAACCCCCAACTCGCCCCCTAACCCTAACCCTTACCGCCACACCAACACCAAACTAGTTCAATGTCTTCTGTCGTTTCTCCTTTCTCTGACTTGCTCCTGTTGCGTTGTGCTCGTCACGCAAACTAAAGGGAAAAACATTATAATTTTTCTGCAACTTTACCCCCTCCCCAACTCATTCCTTCGGGCAGTATCGAAACAGAAGGACTTGGAAGGCTGGTAGGCTACCCAGGAGACATAAACCGTAGGTACCCGGACATTGGTTGGGTAGATGGCGCCACCAGTCTCGTTGGCGTTGGAGAGGGAGAGGAGGGGTCGAGGCCGTTAGTTGGACGAGTAGCGGGAACCCTTCGGAGAATATTTAGGCCAGTTCATGCCTCGGCTTAATTGTTCGAGTTTAAAATACATCTTCGTTCTTTAAAAGCAGTGTATTTAAAACATAAATAAAAAATAGACAGATGTCCTAAAATCCCTTCTCCCTCTCCCTCCCTCTGTCTCTCCATATATATATATATATATATATATATATATATATATATATATATATATATATATATATATATACTTTCCTTATAAAGAATTGATCTTATAAATTCTAGCAAGAAACCTGTAAACATTATGCAAATAAAACGACAGTAAATAAGTGCAAGGAGATAATTCTATACATCAGAGAGTTACAGACATTATAGACAAAAAAAGTTGGCATATTATATAGTAAAATGGCTCAAATTATCGAAAGGTTGAGTTGCAAATATCAGCTAAGATATACAGGATACGACAGAAAAATCTCCCACATTTTAAACTGACAGCTTTTGGGTTTAAACAAAAATGAAATAAAAATTTTAATAACCTTTATTTACCTTTGGTCTTTTGTCAACCTTTAAAATGTGTTAGGTATTTCTGACAGACACTATATATATATATATATATATATATATATATATATATATATATATATATATTATTTTTTTATATATATATATATATTTTTTTATATATATATATATATATATATATTGTTTTATACGTATATATATATATATATATATATATATATATATATATTAAACTAGATCGTACATGTAACTCGAAGCAAGAATAAGGAGATAATCAAGATGCTGACGTTCCACACTACCTCAAGCATACGGCAAGGACAGAAGCCCTCCGTTCATACTGAAAGAGCAGTAACAGATAATGGACTTGGGAAAGATTTCAAGTTTATTTTTCCAACAAAATCAGCACTAGCTATTCAAAGTATACTAAATACTTTCTTATAAGGAAACACTTTATATTACTATTACCATTACTTATTTTAAAAACAAATGAATAAAAACTGTAGCCCTTTTTGTAAACGACAATGAAATAATGTTTTTAACAGTTTTTTTTTACCTTGGTCTTTTTGTCAACCTTTAAAATGTGTGGATGTATTTCTGCTGCACCTTGAATTTTCAATTGTTGTCCTTGTACTGCCAATCGTAAAGTCTTATGAAATATTTATCTGTCAATGCATTTATGAATGTAGGGAGGCTATTCGGTTGAGTCGCAAATAATTTCTATTTTTGTTTATCAATTTTATTAATCGAAAAATTATGTAGAATTAAATTTTATTCAGTTATATATTCAGCGTTATGATACTTATCGAGCAGCTCTTCCATGGTAAAATCCTGCAATTTTTAATTTTAAACTCTTGAATCTGATATTCATTAGAGAAAACCTTCCCCATCAAATCGTTTTTCATAATATCTTTTCATCTGTAAATCATAGTGTATAAATGGCTGTCAATGGAGTGATTTAAGAGCAGATCAATGTTGTTTTCTGCATTGCTCTGTTTGTGGAATTTATGTAGTAAAGTACAGTCAAATCAGTTTCATAATTCAAGTAAACTTAATGTCTTCAGCAACCATTTTTTACCAGTGCTCATATTGCAATTTTTTGCTGTTATCATTGCATGTTTTTTTACCTGAGCTCATATTACAATTTTCGTATACAGTACTTTATTTTGTCTATATTTCTGTTATGTACACTATTTAAACTATTGTTCTCATCTTTGTGGCCGATGTACGCTCTGGTCTTCTTTAGGTGGTTGGAACGTCGATATGAAACCTTTTATTTCGTTCGCTGGGGTAGACTGTTCTAGTTTCACGTGCCATGTTCCTCCAAGTTCTCCACTGCCTTAACCAGGTATCCTGTCACTGGATCTAACTAACGCCTTTATCCACTTTGCCATGTGTCATTGAGGACATCTGGGTATGAATTTCTGGGTATCATAAATTTAATGTTCTAGCATTTTTTACCAGTGCTCATATTGCAATTTTTTGCTGTTATCATTGCAATTTTCGTAGTTATTATCGCTTTTCTTTGGCACGCCTTATTACTGGTTTCCATATTGTATTCATTTCTATGCTTGGTCGGTTCATGAGATTTTTGTGGCCTAGCATATGTGCTGATTCCTTAAGTTTACGAATTTTCCAATGATGTTTTTTGTCTATGATTTCAACTTGATCCCACAGAGGGCGGTGATCTCCCTTTTCTCTCCATATGTGGTCAGCCACGCCTGATTTTTCCACTTCCCTTTATGTTACAGCTTTCTGAAGCCTTACCTTAAGGGGGCGAGCTGTCTCCCCTTTATATTTCTGAAGAAGGCCGGAGCATACAACGTCCGAAACGTTGTGATAAATATGACAACAGAGATGAGGATAATAGTCCGAATAATGTAAATAGAGTACTTTATTTGTTAGAGTATTAATCAGATACACATATATTCACAGAAAACAAGTCAGAAGTTTTACGCACGCACGCACGCACGCACGCACGCACACACACACACACACACACACACACACACACACACACACACACACATATATATATATATATTTTAATTACTAAACGTTTTACACTATTTACATTGCTCGGATTATCATCCTCTTCTTTGTTGCCTTATTTATCACGTTTCGGCCGTTGTACGCTCCGGCCCTCTACAAGTGGTTGGAATGTCGAGCTGAACCCTTTATTTATGAAGAAGACCGGTGCGTACAACGACCGAAATTTTGTGATAAATATGGCAACAAAGATGAGGATGATAGTCCGAATAATGTAAATAGAGTACTTTGTTTGTTAGAGTATTAATCAGATACGCATATATTCACAGAAAACAAGTCAGAAGTTTCTTTCTTACAGTATCACTCGATTGGTGCAAGATCCTCAATTCGAGTCGCTTATCCATTACTCCAGCGTAGGATTAGTGGGTGTGAAAGAATTAGAAAAGGGAAATATTATTAAGGAATGAGAATAACAGAATAGTAATCACGAAGACAGTGGATAACGATTGGCATTGAACTTATATTTTTTTTTTTTAAGATCAACGTTGGCCAGAAAACATGGAACCGGAAGAGAGTTCCATAAGCGAGAAGGGCAAGAAACTGTTAGCATATAACTTACGGTTACATCTAGCCAATTTAGAGCCCTTCGACGTGGTGTAATGCTGAACAAAGCTTGTCTCGATAGATCAGTTACAACTGAATAGGGATTTCGATCCTCACTTGGTTCCCCATACTTTCGGCCTTGTGCCACATCTAAGCTACGCTTCGAAAATCACCATAAGAGAGATATGTGACTGTCTCCATGTAGTGGCTTTTTCTTTGATTCAATAAAAACAGGGCGAAAAACAACTAAACTGCATTAAATAAGAACAAGACGAGATATCTTTGCGTTAAATAAAGAGTTCAGTTAAATGGTTACCCGGATCAACAGACATCCGAAGAAAGGGGTAACAGCTGAAACGCTGTGCTAATAACAAAGATAAGGATATAAGTGCAAATGAAAATAGCGTAAATAACGAATTTTGTAAACATTAGGAGAGGCGCCGTGTATATATAAGGCTCGCCTGATGGCTGAGGTAAATGCATGTTTTGCAGCTTCGAAAATTTATAACAAACTTCAAATAGCGTATCTCCTATAATTGTCAGGGTCATTTCTTGTAGCCGACAAAATGATATACAGACATTTTTTTAAAATAGCAACCCCAGTTCTGCCATAAAAGTTAATTAAACGCTTTCGTAATAATGAATAAATTAAGAAATACAGTTTTAAAAAAAGGCATTCGACGTTTACATCAAAATGACACTTAATTTAAAGGCTACTTCAAAGAAAAAGTAAATAAATGTGTTTCAAAGTTATGCTGAGCTTCTAATAATAAAAATATACAGGGTGTCCTAAAAGTCGAACGGGGTTTTGAAATTTAATAAGCATTCAGGGAATTGATATTTTTCTCTTGTTTTTGGGGGTTTTTTTTGGGTGGGGAGGGGAAGTCAGATTTAGAAAGTTGAAGGCCTGGAGTGTTATTATAGATAAATTTACAGCTCAACAACAAACGAAAATTGTACAACTTTATTTTGAAAACCAACATTTAATTGTGCTTATGCAGAGGGCATATCAACGTGAATCCAATGTGAGAAATCCGCTGTCTGATTCAATAATTCACCGTTTCATTGTGCGTTTTCAGCAAACAGGGCCTGTTTATGACTTGCCAGGATCTAGGAGACCATGTTCAGCTTGTCCAGAATAAAATATTGAACAAAACAGTAATAGAACAGGTAATGTCCATCCAAAGACGCTTTTTACAGCTGAATGTGTCTCGAACGACCATACAAACACTTTTATGAGGAGGGATTTACACCAGCATTCTTATAAAATCCAACTGGATATAAGCCCAATAAATTATGAGCAGCGACGTAACTCAACAAATTTAAAAGCTAACGAATAAAGATGAAAATTTTATTCATCATCAGATGAATGTGAGACCCAAAATGGTATCACTTACCATGCGTTATTTTCCACAATTAGTTCAAATAAATTTCCATTTAATGATATTCTTTATTACATAAATACGAATTAATTATGTTGTCTACTTAGGGAGTAAGGTCACTTTCAGAAACCGACGCAACGTTTCGGGCAATCGAAATAATCTAACATTTCACAGATACAGACTCAGACACACGCACAGATATATATATATATATATATATATATATATATATATATATATATATATATATATATATGGTGCAATAGATAATTGTCATCTAAATTACGTAAGAATCAAAATAAAACTGACATCTCATTATAACAGATATATTTACCAAAATTATACAAAAATATCTTGAAATACTAAAGAGTAAATCTACTCAATAAAATCGCTATTGGCTTCAACCATGTCCTCCAAACTACTTTGGAATCCCTTGCAACTCTTCTGGACAGTCTCCTTGTTTAAATTGGTGAATACTGCCATAATGCTTGCCTTCAGTTCATCTTTGGTGTTACAAGGAGTTTTGTTGTTATTTCGCTGA